GTGCTTTGAGATTCCTTTTCTTTGGTTGCGTCTTGAGTTTCTTTGGTTGCGTCTTGAGTTTCTTTTTCTTTGGTTGTTTCTTGAGATTCCTTTTCTTTGGTTGTGTCTCGAGTTTCTTTTTCTTTATTCGTGTCTTGAGATTTCTTTTCTTTAGTTTTTTCCTGGTATTCCTTTCCTTCAGTTGTGTCATGAGTTTCTTTTTCTTTGGTGGCGTCTCGAGATTTCTTTTCTTTAGTTGTGTCTTGGGGTTCCCTCTCTTTGGTTGTGTCTTGAGGTTTATCTACCTCAGACTTCAACACTGGAGCCTCCTTCAGGTGTGCCTTGCCACCAAGAGCATCCCCCTCCTCTGCAGGCTGAGAGGGACCTTTTTTATTCTCTTTAGGACTGATCTGGGTTGTTTGGGCAGCTGTCACATTTAAATGAGCAGCCTCAGCTTCAGCCACACTCCCTGGCTGTTTGAGTGAGCTCTTCTCACTCCTCTTGCCTCCACCCAGCTCAGCCCCTCCAGCTTTATTCTCCAAGGAAGCCTTGTCAGTGTTGTGCTTTTTATCAGTGGGTTTTACTTCTTTATCATCCACCTTTTCCACAGGAGAAGGGTGAACTCCATCCTCCTTTGCCTGAACATGCTGTCTGGCTGCAGGAGCCAATGCAAGTGGTTTCCCTGCCCCACTGCCACCCTGGGAACCAGCCTCTCTGCTTTGCCCACCTTTCTTTGAACCCTCTTCTCCGGGTTCTTGGTGTCCCAGCTGGATGGGCTGCTCACAACCTTCCTGGGTCTGTATCTCCTCCTTAGCACCAGCTCCGGGCTCTTTGCTGCTTTTCTCTGCCAGTGCTGCAGGAGCAGGAGCAGGAGGAGCAGGGGAAGGAAGCCCTCCACTCCCTGCACCCCCATCTCTCTGCTTTGGGAAGCCAGAGGAAGCATCTCCTTCAATCCCAGGGCCAGTCACTGTGCTCTCAGCCAAGGACTGGAGGTCACTTCCTTTATTATTCCAAAGCTTTTGAGGGCCAGCGGGGAAGTTTTTAATATTTCTGTTTTCATCTACAAAATCCGTGCCTTCCATGCCATATTCCAGCTGGGATCCCAGGGCAGGCAGTGCTTCACCCCTCTCTGGTTCTGTCTCTGGAAGAACGGGCTGCTTGGAGGCACTTCTGGTCTTTTTACTGCTCCCATCATAACCCCTCTTTTTAGATCTCTCAGTAACCAGGGCCAAAGTGGGATCTGCCACTGCTGGCTGCTCTGGGGTAGGATTTCTGTCCCTGCTGGAAGGACTGGGACCTTCAGGTTTGTCCCTTATCTCTGTGTCCCGGGGAGGGCTCGTCCCTGCTCCTGCCTTCTGCTCCAGCACAAACGGCTGCTGAGACTCAGGCTCCAGCTTTTTGTGTTTCTCTTTGCTCCCTGTGTGTGATTTCTGTGGTTCCAGAGGCAAAGCAGGAGCCTGTCCTTTGGCAGGAATGCTGAGGTCATCCAGCAGAGCCTCTGGAGTCCCAGAACCAGCCCCTTTGCCCTTCTCAGACTGAGTTTGGTTAACACTTCCCACTGCAGGGACGTCACCTGGACCCAGCTCAGGACTATTTTCAGCCTTTTTGCCTTTCCCATCTCTAGTTTTACTCTTGGTCTCGTCCATCCCCACTTCCCTGGTGGGACTGTGTGTCCCAGCCCTGTGCTCTGGGAGAGGCTGGGATCTACCTGGATCCTTCCCTGTATTCATGGGCCAAGTCTCTTTAGCACTGCCTGTTCCTGGCTCTGATGTCTCCACCTTATGACCTGAAAGAACTGGCTGATGAGAGGCACTCCTACTGCCACCCTGGATTTCAGGTTTGCCCAGCACCTCTGCCAGATTCCCTCTTTCCAAACCAGACACCTCCTTATCCAAGGTCGTTTCCTTCCTGCTTCCAGCCACCTTCTCCTGGCCCGTGTCCCCCCCTGCCCCCAGGACAGCTGCCTGCCCCGAAGTCTTGTCAGGCTGTTTCCTTTTCCCATCACTGCTCCTCTTCCTGGGTTTCTCTGCCTCCCGTGTCCCACTGGAGCTGAGCCCAGGGGATTCCCCGGCAGCCCCTCCGGCCTCTCTGCCTTTTTTACCCAAATCCACCTCTTCTGGCTGGCTGATGGTGTCACCCAGGGCAGGACGTTTGGCTTCCTCTCTCCTGCTCTCCAGCAGCAAAGGTTGGGCTGAAGCCCCCAGATCAGCTTTTTCATCTTTCCCAGTGTTTTCTTTCATCTCCCCTGGCACCACCTCAGTTGGCCTTTGCATTTTAGTTCTATCTTCCTGCAAACACCCAGCAGTGACACAACCCCCCTCTCTGCCCTTATCACTGACTTCCTTAGCTTTATTGGACAGCTCAGGAAAACCACTTGGGTCCATCTTATTCTCAAGGAAAGGCTGCTGGAAAAAACCTCTTTCCCCTTTTTTACTCCTTCCATCGCTGCCCCTTTTTTTGGGCTTGTCTGCAGGCCAGGCCTGTGCAGAGCTGCCTGGGGGGTGTCCCCTGGCAGGGAAACCTTGGTCTCTGTCGGGATAAGCTTTTTCTTTCCCAGCCTCATCCACCCTCCCTCCATCAGGGGATCTGCTCCCATCCCCTGAGAGCATCGTGTGCTCAGGGAAGCTTTTCACCCTTTTGCCCTTCCCTTCCCCGCGCTTTTTTTTGGGCCTGTCCATCCCGTGTGTCAAACCAGGATCTTTGCCAGCCTGCTGCTCTGAAGCACCAAACCCTTTCCCTTTGTTTTGATCTGGGGAATCTGCTGCCACCCCCCTGCCCAGTGCCTCGGCAGGGCTGGGATGTTTGGGAGCGTCGGGAACACCGTTGGCCCTCCTGTCCTGTGGAGCAGGAGCCTCCTCAGGCTTTGGGGAAGCCAAGGGTGCAAGAGGCCCTTTAGCAGCATCTCTTGGGGTCTTCAGTCCTCCCTCTGGCACTGGTTTAGTCTCACCAGCTGCCTTTGGCTCTGCAGGAACTTTGTCCTCCAGCCCAGCCTCTCTGAGGGATTCATTCCCGACCCCTTTGCTTTTTTCCCAGCTTTTCTTTGCTGCTGCTTCCAGAGCCCCACGGGAAGGCTGATGGACAGTGTCACTGAGGGTTTCCTGACTGGCAGATGTGGTTTTAGGCTCCTTGTTTTTATCAGGAAGGAGCAATTCCAAAGGTTTGCTCTGTAAGGGAGTTTCTGCTTTGCTCACATGGACCAGGTCAGCACGTCTGGGCTCCTTATCCTCCCTCTTCTCCTTTTTATCAGGAAAATCTCTTTCCAGAGGCTTGGTGGGTGCCTTTGCTGGGACAGATTCCCCCACCTTAGTCCTGCCCACCTGCTCCAAGGGAACCTCTTTGCTCTTGCCTTCACATTCCAGCATCCAGCTTTCACCTCTCCTTCCCCCTGTTTTCGTGACATCCCCAGGCCTGGCATCCAGCACTCGGGATTTCTGGGCCTGCTGTCCTGGTGCTGGCACCGAGGAGGCATTTTGCTCATCCAGGACATGACTCCCAGCTGTTATTTTAGCATCCTTTGGCACATCCAAAGCTCTGCTTGCAGAGGCAGCTCCCGGCATTCCGGGACACACACCCGGACCCTGCAGTGCGGCACCAAACGGAGAATTCCCGGGAGCTCCGGGGGCTGTTCCACTTTCATCCCAGAACTCCATCGCTCTGGGCAGCTGGTTTCTCCTTTGTTTGGGCTTCTTTTTCTTTTTCTTCACCACGGCACCTTCCAAATCCCAGTTTTCCCGGGGTGGGTCCCCGTAGCTCTCCACAGACCCCGAGGGGCCATGGGCTGCCTTTCTGGGTGGGACCCTCCTGCTCCGGGAGGCTCCAGCACCACATCCGAGCTCCACTACGGGGTCAGGGCTCTTCTGCTCTGGGAGACCTACTGGCTGTTCCTCTGGCACAGCTGTGAGAGGCACTGGGGCAGCTTTTGCTCCGCCAAACCCGCGGTCGCTGGATTTGGGAGCTTGCCTGACTTGTGCAGTGGGAAGACCTGGAATACAGAAGCCTCCTCAAACATCAAAGCCACTATTTGCTCGCTAAGAAAATAATAAATATACTATTTATGTGACTTTAGCCATCCCAAACGGGCCGTACAGTCACGTGGGCTGGATTTCCAGCACTGATACCACACTAAAGGCACCTCGGTAGGGCTGGGGGAGACATTTACCCCCAAAACCTACTTAATTACTTCCAATACGTGGTCAATGCCCTTTAAAAACAAGTCCTGCCAGAAGCTCTTACCCCACCAAAAAGCACCAGTTCCTGTAAGGACATGCTATGGCTCTTTAAAAATGCATTAAGGATCCATTTTGTCTGAGCAAGACAAGATTAAGAGAGAGACTTTTTATATCTCCAGCTGGCATCCTTCCAGACTGGGAAAACAGAAGTTTAGTGGAAAGACTGGAAGAGATGGAGGGGATGAGAGCCAAGTTTCCCCCAGCACCAGGGTGGGAGCAGCGGGAGGCAGAACCTGTGTCCCAAAGTCACCTGCTGTGTCCCTTCAGGGCTCCCTCAGCTCCAAAGCCACTGAGTTTTAGAAAGCATCAGTCATTTGTCACTTAGCCCTGGCCCACAAATCCACCTCCACGACCAGTGTGGCACCACCAGCTCCTGGAGAGGCAGGAAAACAATGACACCTTCCCTCAGCAGTTACACAACTCAATTTGGAACTCCTCACTGGGAACACTGCAGCAAGGATTAATGGTCCTTTTGACACCCAAATAAAAAGCCAGTGGTGATGGCAAAGACATGGTGAGCTTTTCATCCTCCAGCAGAGCAGCTGTGAGCCAGTCCCAGTGAGAAAGTACTTGGAGCACACGGATTTGGGGGGTTCAGTTGGAAATGGAGGGGAAAGAGTCTTTCAGAGGGCAGGGACCAGAGGGAAGTGCAAGGCCAGCACCAGGAATTCAGAAAACCACAGCAAAGAGACTCCTGCTTGCTCAGGTGGCCCCACAGCCAGGAGGGAAGGGTGAGCAGTTCAGAGAGGAGACAATTTCCATGGAAAAATGGAATCACTACCCATGTCCTACCTGTGGGCTCTGGCAGGGCCTCTCCTTGCTGAGGTTCCACGTGGTTGTGCTCAGGCTCCTCCTTTTGTGCCTCCACAACCACAGCAGGGACAGACTTTTCTGGAAGGTCTTTATTTTCTAGTGCAACGTCTTCTTTTGCTTCTGCTGGAGCTGGAACATGAAAAAACAGGGACAGGAAGCTTCAGGTCTCAGCAATTCAGGGAGGCTGCAGATAAAGACAGTCCCTTGGGAAGGGGACAGGGCTAATTTATTTATTTAAAATAAATTTATTTAATTTATTTATTTATGTTTAAGAGGAATGAAGCTTCTGAGACATGGTTTTCTACCATATCTTATCTCCTCACAAACCGATTTTAAGCAGCAATTTTATATTTTGCAAGACATGCCAAGGTGGAGGCAAAACACGAAGCAGAGACTGTTTCAGGCTTAAGCACAGGGTGTTTGTTTGGGTTTTTTCCCTCTTTGTAATCATCCTAATTCAGAGTGTCCCAGATTCCCACTGGAATTCAGATCCAGAATAAACTCCATTATCAGTCTGGAGTCCCTGGTTAATGCTGAGCACCCTGAATTCATCTCTACCTCACAGTATATTCCTGCAGACACCTCACCAGCCCTTGCTACGTGTAATTACACCAAAGTTCCATTTATAAGCCATAATTACATGGGAGAACAGTTCTCCCTGTAATTAATTTTATTCAGATTCTAAATAGGAAGGAAGATGATGACAGACATTGGTACAACAACCACGGATGAGGAAGAAAAAGACAAGTTACATGAAGGTAACTTCAAATGTTAAGGTTAACATGGATTTATAACAGCCCTTGGTCAGCACACACGAAAAACCTGCTTGAAATTCAACTTTTGTTGCATTTCCTTTGCTAAGGGCAAAGAGAAGCAGTGCCTGTGGTGGGGCAGAAGGAGCTGGTGACCCAGTTTTGTCCTGGGCTTTGCATTTCCCACCTGCTGGTTCTGGAAGGTGGTTGGTTTGCCCAGGAAGGGGCTCCTTGGAGGGGCTGGGAGGGGGTTTGGTGTCCTTGGTGTCCTCTAAATGATCCACACGAGCTTCTGGGACTTTGGATTCTTGGTCCACCTTTGCCGTTGCTTCTGCAAAGAATAAAAAAAAAAAATTCACATTTTAAATTTGGATCGAACGAGGTAAAACCCACTTCCTCTCTCAATTCTTATTTCCCACAAGAACAGGGATGAGCCAGCATGCCTCTGTGGCTGCCCAAAAAACAGAGAGCACTGCTGAGAATGCCCAGGGCATTCAAAACCATCAAGAAATTCTAGCTCTGTATTTTCTCAGTGGAGAGCCCCCGGGAAGCACCTCCTGTGTACCCTGAGAGCAGCACTGAGCCCTCCCCAAGGGCTTTTAGGCCAAGCAAACCAACCACTGGATGTGATGGTTGTCAGGGGCTTTTCCAACCTGAATTATCCCGTCACTCTGGGATTTTGGGCACAGACTCACCTGCAGGAGACTTGTCCAAGGGAGACTTGTCTTGCTGAAGGGCAGACCCAGATGTCACCAGCTCTCCAGGCACAGCAATTTTGGGGTCAGCTGCAGGGACAGCTCCAGAATCCAGGGTGGGAAGAGGCTTGGTTTCTGCTGCAGGAGCAAACTCAGAATCCATGGCATGGTGGTGGTTGACTTCTGCTGCTGGGGCAAACTCAGAGCCCATAACATGGTCAGATTTATTATCTGCTGCTGGAGCAAATCCCAAATCCATGGCATGGTGATGGTTGACTTCTGCTGCTGGGGCAAACTCAGAATCCATGGTGTGGTTAGGTTTATTATCTGCTGCCGGGGCAAACCCCAAATCCATGGCATGGTGGGATTCCACACCTGCTGCTGGGGCAAACCCCAAATCCAAGGCATGGTGGGATGGAGCATCTGCTGCCGGGGCAAATCCCAAATCCAAGGCATGTGGAGGTTCTGCATCTGCTGCTGGGGCAAATCCCAAATCCATGGCATAGTGGGATTCCATACCTTCTGCTGGGGCAAATCCCAAATCCATGGCATGGTGGGATTCCACAGCTGCTGCTGGGGCAAACCCCAAATCCATGGCATGGTGGGATGGAGCATCTGCTGTGGGGGAGAAGCCAAGGTCTGTCCCCGGGCTGGATTTGTCATTGACAGCTTTAGGAGACTTGGCTTCAGGGGCAGGAGAAAACCCAACATCCATGGCCTGGAAAGGGTTGGCTGCTGCTGAGGGTGCAAATCCAGCATCCAGAGCTTGGGCAGGGCTGGTGTCTCCTGCATGGACAGAGCCAGCCTTTTCTGCAGGAACGGGCGTGGCCTCGGGGGCTGCACCTGCCAGGGACACACAGGGCACAGGATCAATGGGAGTGCAGATGGAAACACCTGACCCTGTGCTTTGTGACTTTGGGCCTCTCCTCTTGCCCTTCAGCATCCCCTGCTGCCCCCTCAGCCCAGGGCACCCCAGCTGCCCCCGTGTTCCTGTCCCCTGAGTGCTCCTCCTGCCCCACGATGGTGCCCCGGGCTGCAGGGACATCCCTCTGCTCCCAACACCCAGCAGCCAAACAGGGACTCACTGGGTTTGAAACCTCTCTGGTGCCACAGAGCTGGCAAAGGGCCAGAGCTGCTGGATCCAGTGCCAGGAACACAATCCAGCAGAACATGGACAGGAATCACAGTGAGGGGGGCTGCAGAGAATCCCAGAATGGTTTGGAAGGGACCTCAAAGCCCATCCAGTGCCACCCCTGCCACGGGCAGGGACACCTCCCATTAGCCCAGGTTGCTCCAACCTGGCCTTGGACACTTCCAGGGATCCAGGGGCAGCCACAGCTTCTCTGGGTAACCTGTTTTTCCCTCTCTAAGCAGGACACAGAAAATGTGGAATCACCTTTATGAGCCCAGCTGGGAATTCCAACAGCAGAAAAAGTCCTGGGACACTCCAAAGCCACACAGAGTTCACTTTAAACATGGCTTGTGCTGTCAGTGGGTGGTTTGGTGCTGCAGCTTAAGGCACTCCTGACACAACAGTCATCCTGTGAATTCCCAAATCCCTCCATTCCTTCCTGACCAAACTGGCCTCGTTCATTTTCCACACAGTATCTCCCAAGACACTGAGCTGGTAATTCCAAACCAACATTTGTCACTTCACAGGACAATCAAACCTCTGTATTTAAGCTCCTGTTTTTATAAAATCCCCTTAAAGGAGTTTTTTCAGTCAGTTTTTATTAAATATTTCTCTTCTAGAGGCAACTCTGTATAAATTATCAGTGCCAGGAGCACTGGATTTCTCTTCTGCAGCTCCTAATTCCCACAGCCCCAAGCTCTGCCCATCCTCCATGTCCTGCAGCACCATGACCTGAACATCTCCCACCTACTGCTGAGTAGATGCTACACAAAAATAAAATTTCTACTGATTTTTTTTTTTGTGTCACATCTAAAAATATCCTCCTCAACCAATAGAAAACGTATTAAATCTAAGTAAGATACTTAAACTGAAGTCAGAAACAGATAGGAAAAAATGGAAAAAATGCCTTTTAAAATGGTCCTTAAGAATCCATTTAGATAAAATGACTATTAGGTACTTAAACTGAAGAAGGAAAGAAATAAGAAAAATGGAAAAGGTCTCTCTTAAAATGGTATTTAAGGATCCATTTAGACAAAAGGAGTATTTCAGTGAAGCAAACCAAGAAGATCCATCATGCACCACCCTCATTTGGGTTTGCCTTTGCTGTGGTTTAAGTGACACCACTTTCTTCTCCAAAATAAAATTTCAAGATTGTGATTTTACAGATGGCTAAGACTGTAAATAAACAGGTCTTAAAAGCAGTATGGATGTTCCCTGGTGGATGAGGGGAATTAGTGGAATAAAGTATCAGGAAATGGGACAACGACCGGTACCACAGGTCTGATGCTCTGCACAAATACCTTAAAAACCTTTTGTTTTAAAGAGAGTCTCTAACACAGACAGGCCTGGAGGTATTTCTGTAAGATCAGGCTCATGGCAGATGTGGCACTTGGGGACATGGTTTAGTGGTGGCCTTGGCAGTGCTGGGGAACAGCTGGACTCAATCCCAGAGGGCTTTTCCAACCCCAATTCCGTGATTCCACGTTGTAACCACGTTCTTGACACACCTTAGCATTTTCCTGGAGCTCAAATCTGGAGACAGTAAAGGATCATTAAACCAGTTCCTGGACTGGGGGCACAGGAGCTGACCAGTCCAGCAGAGTTGCTGCTCCTCCCCAACACTCCCCAGGGATCCCAAACCTTCAGTCCCAGCAGGATTCCTCAATCCCTCGCTGCCTTTCCCTCAGAAGAGGCAATTGCATGTCTTCCCACCCTCACAGCCTGCTCTCAAGGGACCCAAACCCAGCACCAACCTTTTGGTCCGTGGGCAGCTCCGGGCTCTCCCGGGAGTGCTGAGCCTGCAGCAGGAGTAGAGTTGGGGGGCACGGCCGGGGGGCTCTCGGGCAAACTCGCCTTTATTGCTTCTGTGGTTACAGGGGGCACTGGGAGACACAACCAAGGGGGGTGAGCACCTGGAAAGCTCTCAGAGAACAGGTTCCTCTCCTGGGATGTGAGTCCCCCTCTCACCCTGGGGAGTGAATCCCTCCCTCCAGCCTCCCCCTCAGGGCAGAGAAAACCAGAATCGCCTTTTGTTGTCCATGCTCAGGAAATTAATCTGTGCAACACCCAGGAAACACACCCAAAGCCTGAGGGAAGCAACACAGTTGAGGAGTGTTGTGCTACAAAGCCTCCCAGATCCACCCCCAGCCCCAGGTGGAGCCACCAGCTCCAGAAACACCAGGACTGGTGTTAAACTATTCTCTTCTCAGCTTCTTCATTAGATATGCAATAAAACCCCCATTAGGGATCAAATTTTGTAACACAGATGTATCCCCAATGGAACAACATCTCAGAGGAGCTCCAAGGATTTAAGTGTGACCAGAAACTTAATCACAAAATCCCAGACTGGTTTGGGTTGGAAGGGACCCTAAAGCTCACCCCTGCCATGGGCAGGGACACCTTCCAC